GCTTCAGGATCAACGAAAGAAGACTGGAAGTCCAGTTGCTACCAGTGTGGATTAGTTGCACAGACTGTGCTAGCTTATTGAAATATTAGTGTAAGTTCTAAAGTTTTTGGAGAAGTACTATAACAACGATGTATGCAAAAATTGCCCAAAAAAAATTTGGAGCTTTACAGCTTGTTATTAATAGCAGTAATGAGAAAACTGTAAAAAAAAAGCAAGCTCCAGGAGTGTGACGTTCAGGTCCTCGGTAGTATAGTGGTTAGTATCCGCGCCTGTCACGTGCGAGACGCCGGTTCGATTCCGGGCCGGGGAGACCATTTTACAACTGATTGTTGAGAAGACTAACTACCCAGTGTTACCCACTACACCCTGCCTCACCAATTTTAGCAATGATCTGCGGAAGTACCTTCCCCTTCGCAAGTAGGTCCCTTCTGCTTGCCCGTAGCTCGACCGAGTACAGGAGCTTCAAATACTTTCGGACGCAAACGCGAGCAAGAGGCAACTTCCTCATTAGCGAGCGAACGACCCCGGTGAGACTGTCCAAACCGACCATTCAAGAAGCCACGGCGGAGAAAACACCCCGAAAGCCAAAACCCAACCGCACCATCCTCCAGAACTGTTTCTCCTTCACCACCAAACTCTCATATAACTCTTAAAACAGCAATTGAACCTCGAGTTCTTTATATAATACACCAAAACCCTCCAGCAGGATTTTACCCACCAGCAGATACTCAACGAAACAGTGTACATATCGCTAGTTCTGCTGCAACAACAACCGCCAACGAAACCTCCAGCAATTAAACACAGCGACCCACCAGAGCCCGAAACCGGTGAATAAGAGAAATAAACCAGTTAAAAACCCCATGCATTATTTCAAATGGTCCCCTTGAATTTGTTTGATCAAACAAAACGTATTACCAAATCAAACATCAATCCGAACATATACAACTAAAAACACAGTGTGTAAGTCCCCAAACCCCTAAGGAAACTCACGACCAGTACGTCAAAGCCAGCTTCTCTCCAAAAACCCTTACCTATTTCTGTCCAAAAAGTCCTAGAAACGTTTGACTGTGGAGTTCAGCTCCCTTTCTCCAATACAAATGTTCCTACACCCACGCAAAAAAAAAATAAAACACAACTAATCTTCCATCGCAACTAGAAAAGTTGCCATTTCATTCATCCTACTGCACACAAAAACAAAAACAGAAGACTTTATGGAAACAGCAGAAAGAAAAAAAGAACTTCCATACAACAAACCAAACAAGAACAATTTTCTCAAATCATTATTTTTTCCGCACTTTACACCGCTTCCTTAAAACTGAAATTCTCGGCCGCAAAAAGCCAGATCCACTTCTACTAGACGAAGGCATCCCACTGCCTTTTCTAGCGTTCTCATCATTACACAACTCCTCCACTTCATTGGGCGACGTCACAGACGAATAGGAGAAGATGCGATCAGCCTTTTTATACCGCGGCTTCCCATCACCCTTCCTACTTACAGGCTGAGGAGCAGAATAACCTTCAAGAATGAATTTTTAAAGACAGCACACTCTTCAACTACCAAGTGAAATCAAGCAATGACAAACTCAACTAACTACCAGAATCCCCAAAAAGTTCACCTTTCACAACATTGCTATAGTTAGTTGTCTCTTTCAAAAAAGTTTCCTCGAAATCGTAAATCTGCTGCTCCAACGCTTTTAACTTATTCTGAATGTAATCACAAAATAAAGAAAAACAAAACAGCAACAACAACAACAAAAAAAAAAAAAAAAAAAA